CTATTCACATGGAGTTGAACAACATTCAAAAACAATGACAGAAAAAGTTAATGATTCCTGAGAAGTAAATTTGTCTTGACATTACAATCATTGAAGTTTCAGCTACATTCTGTATTTCAAAGAGGTACCAGGTTGTTCATGACTCTCCAACAAGCCATCCAATCAGATGGCCAGCAACTATAAAGGTCTCCACACAATAAAATGTTGTAATTTTGGTCCACATAATGTAAATCGGAATGGCAAGAAAGATTTCATGAGCCAATTTTCAAAAAGTCATATCTAAACAGAGAAGAAGTGAGCAAATTTAACTTGCATGTCAGCCAACAGATGGTGCCAACAAACCAATCTCCAAACTCTGTCCAGTTAAAGTCAATCTTCACAGCTTTTATAATCAGATATTGTGATATTAGGATAAGTTTGAAAATATTACCCAGGAAGGGTTTCTACTCAGGTTTGTAAGCAAAACTTCCATCCTTTTCCAGACTGAAATTTCCAAAGGATGGAACGAAGAAAGGAATGTAGGAAGACACAACATAAGACACTGAAATAGATTATAAAGTCTCTAAAATCAGATATCTCTCAATCATTCATATTTATCTTGGCATTGCAAATACAGAATTAAAATGTTGTATTTTTTCAGACTTCTCCAGAATGTGCAGAAACCTTTATCACAAATAAAACCTTTTCCATTCACAATCATAACCTCAGGTCACTAATGGCATGTGGCTCACCAAAAGACGACTGGTTTAAGAAACAATTCGATAAAAACTACAGCTGCATTCATCTATGGTGACAACAATCAAACTGTGCAGATTATTTTTTGCACTTTTACAAAGTAAACTTCCCAATTCATTCAAATCTTGAACTTAAAGGCACAACAATTTGAAATCTTTTCATTCATCACTACCACTGTTAAATCAGAACTAATAGCATTCTCAATAAGAAAAAGTTACAATTCTCGACCTGTGGTTTGTGTTAAAACTCAACGGTTTACAGGGCGCCCTGAGCGGCTGCAGAGTTGGCTTATGCTTTGGGCCGGCTCTGCTTACCGTCCTCTCCAGTTTCGGGTTTACAGGGCCTGATGCCGGGTCTCTGGATGCGGGGCGGAGGTTTGCTCCTGAGTGGCGGCTTGGACAGCAGCTTAATGGGAATCCGTCTGCGAACGTCCAGGTCACTCAGACTCCCCGAGCCGTCGCCGCCTGGGAGGTCATTTTCTGCTGATGATGAAGGAAAGGAAGATGAACAGAAAGAAACAGAAAATTGTACAAACAAGATTCTGGGTATATGACTGTCAAACTATAAGATTTAAAAAAAGGTTTTGGTTATACAAGATGAGGAGGAAAAGAAGAAAATAAGCAAATATCACAATTGATTGTCAAGGAAATATGTTTTTATATATTATTACTCATGTCATGCAGTCCTAGAAAAACCATCTTCATTCAAAATGCAACAGGCTTTCTGAAGGACAGCAGACAGGCATTCCTGACACCTGCTATCTTTTTCAGTAAACACTCAGAGCTAACACTGCAGCTCACGCCAATGACAACACTCTTTGGTGTGGAAGATGTTCCTGAGTGAAGATGAGTCAGCTTTTTTTCAGCATAAGTGAGGTTTAATAATGATTTTAATTCATTTTAGTGTCTTGAGCACTAAAATGAATTAGTGCTGAATGTCTAAGAAGCTTCTAGAAAGGAAATTGCTAGATGTTCAAGTTTTTTAAATCCACAGTTAAAACGTCGTGTAATCACATTATCTTTGTTTAAAGAGAGAGAGAGAGAAATGTTTGGTACCTACAGTGATTTAACAGCGCTCCCACACATTATGTCAAATAAACTCTGGTCCCAATAAGAATTCATATAAAAAGGGATTCTTTGTAGTTGCAAAGAAATATTGGAATCCTTGAAGTATTTTTGAATTAAAATCAAATGCTTTTGTTATCTAACATAACAGTACATTTTAGTAAAAAATAAAACACAGGGGTTTATTTTTAATTATTTTTTTCATACCTCTTTGCAATTATGTGCTACTTTGTGTTTGTTCTAATCTCAAATTAGTGTGAACTTTAAGATTTATGTGACTGTATAAAAATATTAAAGGTAGTTTGTTTATATATTATTATATATAAAAGTGGACAATTACAACGGTAGTGTAAAAATATTAGAATTATTATTATACAACTGTATCCGAATAGTAACACTCTATAAGTAAAATGTTACCAATATATTACCAATTTTAATTGAGACAATAATAATAATAATGGTTAAAATTAGAACAAACATGCAAGACCACTACAGTACAATAATTGTACAGTGGCTTAATACGCTTGATAGCTGTGTTAGGTCTATCTTATTTATGTCAAAATTAATTTTAAAAGCACTTTATCCTTGTTTTTAATCGGGCATCAATGTAACTACTCCAGCCGCTTGGAACAACTACCGCGTAGATTACCAATTGATTTCTAACACCGACAGGTTCACATAGTGTTGGAAAATAACCACAGAAAACAGACAAATCGAAATGATTTTACTGTGTAATACAAATAACACGACTCAATAGAGCAGGGGACAAGTTAACTTAACGTAGAAGATTAGCCGCATCTGCTAACATTGGTCAGGTAGCATTAGCGGCCTAACGCTGTAGGAACCAATTTAACTCCAACTATCGTGTGAACATAACTCACCAATGTGAGGAGTGGTAATTAAACAAAGTGCTGTCTATTATAACAGAAAACTATATAGGCTGTCAGTCTGAACGCTAACTGTGCGTCAGTATAATGATGCACTTTGCATGACTCTGTCTCTAAGCATTTTTAGCTTCCTGTAACTATGCAACAGAGCACTAAGAGGCAACGATACGTCTCAGGAGAGTCATTTCTTAAATGGTGGTTTGTTTTAGCCCAAAAATGCACTACAGAGAAATGAAACGGTTAAAATAAAGACAAAAATGAAACTTTGTTAACAGCGGCTCGGGCTAGCAGTTTGCTTACCGCCTTGGTCCATGATCCAACGAGAGAACGCAATGCATTACGGGATATGGACGACACACCGAAAGGAAATGGAATGAAAGGAAGGACAAAAATATATATATATTTTTATTCAGATGCAAAATATGTAACATTATTCGATAAATAACACTGCAGGTTTACGGAAATGCTTTTTAAAGAAATGTAGTACGGTCAATAAAACATACAAACTAAGACATAAATAAAACAATAAATAAAAAAATATTCAAAACAAATAAAAGTACGGGGAACAAAACAATATATAAAGACATCTACGATGAAGCTGCACTTCACCAAACAGAACCATATTAGGGATATCCACACCTACATATTTTGACGAATTAATGGGAATACCGTATACTGCCACAAGATGGCAGTCATGCATAGAAAACCACCCGCAGTTCCGCAGGTTTGACGTAAACCGAGGTCATTTTGGAAAACCAAACAATGACCTGGGTGGCTTTTTAACCTCTTCAGCATATTGAAAATTAATAGTACAGCATCATCTCTTTTTTGGCTGATAATTGTAAAGCTGCCATAAACAGTTCATAATCACTAACTGAACTTTTATTGAAGAACAGAAAGCAAGAAGAGAAAGGAAATGATCTGTCTTGTCTTGCTTGTTAAACTGGGAGTTGTGTCCCCACACAGAGCTGCTTGAGTTGTGAACCAGCGTTTTTCGGAACTTTTGGTTGTGTAACATTTATTGGTTCAAGGGATGAATGCAGTCAACATTTTCCGGAGTCTTTTTCCTGGCATGAAACAAACAATCTGGATTTCAAAGAAGGGGAGACAGAAGAGTGGTCAGAAAGCAGAGCACCAGATATGATTCAATTGCTGGTGAGATCTTTGTGTAGTCAGCGACGAGCAAAACGTCTGTCTTAAACCTGCTTGAATCATCTGAGTAATTTGTAAATCATCAAAGTTTTGATGGTTATGGGGATTTTAAGAAATATCTTTTCAGTTAGATTAGATTATAAGATGTTATTGTTTATTGAAATTTTACAGAATGGTGTAGAAGTAAAATCGGAATCTAAGCAAAACACTGAAGGACATATAAGATGACTAATACGTGTACTCACATGAATGTTTGCCTAGAATATATAAATGGCAAAATTCTTCTGAAATAGCAGAAGCTACCTTATTAGAAAATAAACGGAGGTATGGCTGGTCTTCAGACAAGTTGGACCTCAGCTGAGGAAGCAGGCTGAGTCTATTTGGGTCAGAATATTTTCTATCCTAGTTTTTAGTGGTGAAAATAAATTGTTATGAGAGTAAAATTCAGACAGAATAGAAATTTGCATACCAAATCAATTAACTGATCTGATCAAAAGGTGGAATGTTTGTCAAAGAGTATCTGTTGGATGCTCTATGAGAAAAACATGAAACACAACTTTTCACAGGTTTCATTGTTAATTGTGGCCCGTTAAATACCCAGGAACTTTAGCTTTTAAATAAAAATGAATAAATAAATAAAATCTGTGAAAGAATTTAACAGCCAGAACTAAGAAATAAATTCCAGTGCATTATCTTGTTATAAAGAGAAACATTCTTGTGATTATCAGAAATATGGTCTTGTTTAAACAGGAAGGTAAAATGCTGGCACCCCAGATGTCAGAGAGTTGTCCAGAAGAAACAGAGTCAGAGGAAACAATTAAAAGAAAAGGTTGTAATCTGTCATCAGAATGTATTTTTACACTGTAAAAACTCAAAATCTTACCAAGCATTTTTGTCTAATTTCTAGCTCAAATTTCTAATTTCTAGCTCAAATTATTTGTGATAGCAAGATACGAAACTCATTTGTTTACATCAAGAAAAAAAATTGCATTGCATCTCATTGTAATGGTAAACAATCTATTTCCTATCTCTGGCAGTTTTATGTTTCCATATTAATCATCATAAATTTTCTTTGGTGACGTGGAAAAAAAAAAAAACATACATATTTTCAGCTGTAGATGGAGTTCTGAAGATTTCACACAAAGTCACGACAACATCTTGGCTGTTTATTCTGCTACTGTTTATTGAACTTGTTCAGTACTGGAGTTTCACGGAGCAAACAACGGCCACAACACTGTGTTACAGTTTCTCTCTTTGGGTACAACCAACTAACACAAAGTTCAAATTATTCTTATACAAAAAGGGACTAAAGTAGACATGGACTGTTTTTCTCTTTTCACAGAAACACCACTCTGTCAACACACACACTGCACATAGACTTCTACGACTCTCATCCATACAACATGCACACGCCCATCCAGGGTGGGATACATTCTCCAATTTATTGAGTTATTTTTGACATTTCTTGATACCTTTTTTTTCACCACTTTCCATGAAACAGTGCTCATCCTTACAACAGAAAGATGACTATCGGTTTGCGGCTGCTTTGTTACCAAGACCTGGAGCAGGAACTTATGCCAAGCACTGACTGTCTCATTACATTTATAAGTTACATTACCTAACGGAGAAATTATCAGCCAGTGATAGAAAAATTACTTTGGATTTGGTATATATATATGTTTTTTTGTTTTTTTTCCCCAAAATTCCATATTTTGGATTTTAAGCCAAAACTAAGACCAGAAAGTTCACACTCAGTTCCCGTGTGGAACCATAGTTGTGGTTCTGAATGTTTCAGACGATTAACTTTAACAGTTTCCCATGACCACAAAGTGTTTTGCAAAGCCCAAGCTTTCAGATTAATTTCCTACCTTCTAGTCATCAGCTTTGCTTTAGTACGCTCTGTAACAACTGACAGAGTCTTAAAAGTCCATCATTCCTTTTTGTGCGTGTGTGTGTGGGTTCTGAACTCAAATTCAGATAATCATTAATTAAAATGGGTTTTTTTTGTGGACAAATGCAGGAATTCTGGTTGGGCGGTATGTGCCAAACAGTCAATCAAGGTATTTGGTTGTGAAACCTGGACTGAAACGAGCGGGTGGAGGCCACGGCTTTGAGAAAGTAACCAGAGTAACAAGAGCAACAGAGCATACACACACTGGGTTGTTTATCTTCATTCCCCCCAAAATATTCACTACATTCGTGAATATAACCCTTGTAGGGTTGGAACTCAGGGTGTAACAATACATTCAGCTCACAAGACGTGACACACGGTCAACGAGTCAAGTCTACGTTTGGCTTCCCTCCCAATGCCAAAAGAAAAAGTAGAATCCTGCTTTTTGTCATTTCACAAACAGAGCAAAACGTTGATAGTGTTTTATTAGATCTGTGTTTGGATTAGAACTGTCCTGTTGAGCTTTGATTAGTACAATAACTTCAGATTTTAAAGCATGGACAGTTAAATGCAATTCAAATTCCTTCAAAATTCATAATTTCTCTTCACTGAAGCTGTGAGTCACATGTTAACTCCAGCGCCTTTCCTACTCTGCTTCACAAAAACACTAAAGACATCTTATTTTTTTGACTTAAAAAGAAGAGACAAAAATATTAAAAATAACATCACAAATTGTGTTTTATGGAGTCTGTAAGCAGTCTGAAGTAAGTTTTTCATTTTCCAACTGCAGATTTGAAGCTGCATTAACAATTTAAAATGACTAAGAGCCTCAATCAAACACAAGCAACATTTAGCGCACTCTCTTCAAAACAATAATTAGGTTTATTTTACTTCTATTGATCTGTTCTGGCCATCATCTTCCTGCGCAGTTCTACTCAGTTCTCATCTCCCGCCAGGACTCTGCCTGGGATTTGTCCCATAGAGATGGATTTCTGTGGCAGAATTTCAACCGGGCCAATCAGAGAACAGAAGAAGCTGTGAATGATGACATCGAATAAATTAAATCAATAAGCAAAACAGTTTGTTTTGTAATTGTACATTGTGATTTAAAACAAGCCAACATCTGCATTCTGTGCTCATGACTCAGGGACCTCGACATAAAAAAAACCATCTTGTTTTGCTGTTTGTTTTTGTGGGGGATTTTATTACCCCTTTAAAATAAATTAAAACAAACCTAACATTTGGCTTCTTTCTTTTTCCTGTTTTTACCAAGCACACACCAAACCACAGCCCAGAAACCATGGTATGTGCCCAGCAGTGATGCTAGCATTGTTACACCCCTGATAAGTTTGTCTTCCAGTCCTATTAAGTACAAGCCACAATTGTCTCCGGAAACTCCGACTCAAAGGTCCATGTAAAGGACTGGGACTGGGAAGGCTATTTGACCTTTGGCGATTACTGCGTGACTCTTAATATTACCGCGTGGGAGAGGCAAGAACCACGAGGCATTTCCACTCAGTTTGCCATGTTTACAGACGGGATAGTGTCAGTATGGTTGAATTTAGTGAGGAAATAAACCTCTGGACTTCAGCTGGAAAAACAAGCAAATCTGTTGGGACCAAAATATGATAAAATGATGATAAAATATGACATATAAAAACTCCTCTGGCCTAGTTGCATAGGTGTGAACATTTTTAAGCTAACACTTTGCTAAAGCACCTCATCATCCAATTCCTCAGCCAACATAAAAGATGAAGAAATGTGAGGAACCTGAAGTAAAGTTCCCTGATTTTTGCCAATTTTCCAGTCAGTTTGTCGAAAAGGATAAAAATGTAAAATTACATCCACACAGTATTATTTACTTTGGAGTTAAAAGGTAATTATCAGCTTACAATTTTCTGCTAATTTTTTTTCTTGTTTCCAAAACTATTTCAGTCAATAGACCAGATTTCATTGATTCATTACAGCGAGTCATTCAGGCTGTGAAACAGCAAAGCCTCCTCGTTTGTGGTCCTCAGGATGATTTAGTGACGCCCTGGACCAGAATCCAAGAATGCTGTGAGTTTAGTTTGCCAGCCCAGGTGGTTGATGCAGATACATGGTTAGGAAAATGTTAGGTGCCAATTTACACCAACACGAGGCCTTTCAAAAAATATACAGACATATTAAAGTCTTTAGAAAAGAGCAAGATTCAACTCAAAGAATGACTTTTTCATCAACCAGGTGTTTTGTTTTAATTCAGTTTGACGGGATATGGGACTTTAAACATCCAGTGGCTTTAATCAAAAAGTAGACCTGGGAGCACCGAGACATATCAATATGTATTCTGTTGTTGTTGCTGAAAATACACACATGCATACACATACGTACACACTAACAAAATTAGACAAAGATAATCAACCTGAACATTTTGGGATATTGTATACCGTTATTGTTTTTTGACCAGGCAAGTTCTGTGAAACCGTTTTTGCAGATATACAATAATTTACAGATTCCTTTTCTGGCTAAGTCAGACAGCTTTACTTGATTCATTCAAATATTAAAATGTTTAGCTTATCGTTGAGCTCAGGTAAAATGAAGCAAAACCTTTTTTTTAACACTTTTAATAAAAAATAAAAATAACCTTGAACATTTTTGTGGCCCCTTAGTACTTTCAACTTGACACATTTGGCCACAATGTCAACAGGTTTGGACACAACATGGTGCCGTTCGGTGTTGTTTGGTGTTCTTTGCATCGTTCTGTGACATTGTTACATCACCACCCACTGGCCCGGCAAAGGTACTATAGCGTCTTCTGTTGTGCTGGATCCGACCGTGTGGGCGAGCATTTTTTTCCTCAATCATTTATGAAAATTGACCATGTTTGTAATGACACAATTCTCCCCACAATGGTACGACAGATTAATTAAACAATACCGAAGACAACATCTAATCACGATTGCAACTAATGGTGTTTCAACAAGTATTTAGTTTTTCCTACAAATGTATAGTCTGTGGCTGAGTGGAAGCTGTGTTAGCTAGCAAGTATTCAGGTGCTAAAGACAAGGGAGCTAGCATAACAAGAAACACAGCTATCGTACTTATCACCACCATATGTGGTACACTTGAAAACAACACAAAAAAGCTAACACAAAAAACAAAAAATTACTGTTTTTTTCTCCCCAACATGTCAAAGTAGAAAATTCAAGTGCAATTAATGTTCCAAATATTAGTTAAATCACATACATTTCTCTCTAAAGTAACACTTTGTCGCTTCTAGGTAGTTTATCTCTTGTTATATTTTTTTTTCATAAAAAGAAAAACAAATCTGTGTTATCTGTTCATGTGCTAAGATGGATGAAGCACAGGCTAAGGTGGAATTGTTGGGATGTAATTAATTCATTTGTCACATTTAAGTACTTTAAGCGCACATATCTGCTCATCAGCCCAGCAAAGTAATGAATGCTGTAGGAATACACCTGTGCACTCTCTTTGTGGGTCAGTTCATAATGGCACATCATGACTATGACTGGATATGTCCGTGCATTGCTCAGACATATCCCAATGTTCGGTAGCAACATGACAACATAACAGAAGACAGAGCAAAGCATTGCTAATACTAAACGAACGTGGAGGAATTGGGAGGTAGAGGGGAAAAATGTAAGAAAATAAAGATTAATGGACACAGTAGCAACTGATATTGGCTAGCTAATACAAGCCTGTCGTTATTACTATTAGTCCAGTATTAATATTATTCTATTAGAACCACTCTATAATAAAACAGACTGTATAATGAAAGCTTAATTACATATTTCAAAGAGACTGTGACAATGCTTAAAGGGATAGCTTGGATCTTTTTGAAGGTATTGCAAATATTATTATTCTTATCCATGATAGTTACAGTAATAAGAATATGTCATATTGCAGTGAGTTTGAAAAAAAGGGAATTAAGTAAGACTAATAGCCAGCCAGATGGAGCCCATGTTTAAGCTGTTTAAAAATATTCATATCTCATTGAGTGCAACGCCATATTGGTGGAGATTAACCTTTCACTCTTTCTTTGTTAGGTCTAACAATCTATGTAACTGGAGTTACATAGGATCAGACTGCATCAGTCCACCAAATCAGCTGATCATATGTTAGCAAGAGTAATAATTACCTCAAAACTACAACACCTGGAAGAATACAGGACTGAACTGTTTCAGCACCGATGTGAGATCTAAAATGTTTAAATTTGTTTTGGAGAAAATCCATTGAGAAATGGAGAAAAATATAAAGGATTTTAAATTATTAGAAATAAACGCAAGATTTAAAGGGATCTGCAAATTCACTCTGTAATATCCAAATAATACAGACACAATTTGATGCTAAGCACAACTACGACACAGTAGGTAATAACCACTTATCCATGATTACCTTTTAGCTCAGCTAGTTAGACTTGGGCCCCTCTCCCAGAAGTAAATGGATGTAGAACAGACGGATAAATAGCAGCTAATGAAGCAAACTAACACAGCATCAGTCCGAAACAACTTACTTAAACTTTAGAGTACTTGGATAGAAGTAGTCTGGCTGAACAGCAACAAACCAGACAATAAAAAGAACAATGGCCTTTTTGGAAATGTATTGGCTTCTGCAATGTTTAAATGAATAGTTTCAATTTGAGCTGTTGCTTCACAGGTGTTCCAGAACTGGAAGTCTTCTAGAAAAGAGAGAATTCACAAAGAAACTCAATCTCCATTACTTGCCGTGATTTATATAGACTAACTGGATTCACAAAGCAGTTTGTACTAAATACATGAAACTGACTGAAGAAATTATCCTTTTTTATCTTATCAGCAGGCAATTGTCATCTCTCAAGCCTCAAGTACAACGGATGCAGAAGGGATAAAAGGGAAAAGTTGACTATTTTATCATTTCAATTAAAGGAGAACTCTGGGTTGTGACCTGACAAGACATAACTTTAGCAACATTTGACTGAAGGAACAATGTCACAGTGGTGTTTTTCACATCAAGACGTTATAGGAAAAGAAAAAAAAAAGAATTATGCATTCCTTTAATTGATTCATTTGATGATGGTAATATTTTATATGTAATCCATGCAAATATACTACAAATGTATTGCAACTATAAATGTGAGAATAAGAAAGGCATGTGCGTAAATATGACTTGCGAGTTTCTACCTTAATAAAAATAAAAAGAGCAGATATTTCAGTATTCAATTGTACCAAACAGTTTGCTCTGGTTGCAAATTAGAGAAATATATGTAAATATGAGCAGGTTTTGCCTTAAATGCATGCATAATGACTGAACTAAATGTATGTAAGCTGCTTCAGTGCAGGGAGATGATCAGCATCTCCCTGACGCTGATCAAACAGATCTGATTTTGCAGAATTAAAGGGAGACACGTATTCTTTCTTGCAAGCATTTAGCATTTGTAAATGTTTTTCTTTCGTTTTCCACCAACTCATTGCAATCTGACATCTGTCTACTCCAGGAAAGCCGTTACTTTTCTCACAGAATGTCATTTCAAAAATCCAAGCTATCCCTTCTCAGTGACTTCACAACTGCACATCCTTTCAATGCGACATCTTTAGCCATCAGCCAAAGCCAAAGAACACCTTCCATAGCATAAACACTGGATATGGAAGAAATAGCTAGCATGACTGCAATGGATGAAACTATCATTATTTGCAGAAACCTAAAAGTGGTCATAAAAACATATTTATGATCCAAACTATGCTACAGGTTATATTTTACACATTTGGGACCATTGATTCTTTTGCTTGCACTTCAGAATTATGTGCTTCTCTGTGTTAGATTTTTACATAAAATCCTGACATACTAAAATGAAGGGCAGGGGATGTGAATACTTTTTCAAAGAACTGCCTTTAGTAAAATCTTTTTTTCCCCCTAAAATAAACGCATTCTCACCAATGTGGATGAGACATGGCAGTTTGAAATGATGAAGTATAATATAATAGTTATACCAGTGTAAATCAACACCTACTTTACAAAATTCTTGGCCACCAATTTCCTTTTGTCTCCAGTTTATGTAGGCTAGTATATGGAGTAAATTGCTGTAAGGGTTGTTTCTATTGGACAATCATTTTTAGCTAGTTAGCTAGCGAGCTAGCTAAACTAACTAGCCAGCAAACTAGCTAACAAGCTAGCTTGATCACACTATCAGCTCAAAATAAGCGTATAAATTAATCAACTGTTTATGTTTATCAGCATTTGTGGAATAAAGATACTTTTAGACATAGTAAAATGATCTTACTAAGATCAGCTATTGAGTACACTATCACAACATTTAGCATCATTAGCACTGTGCTTTCCATCTGTAGGGCATTAATTAAAACTATAGATGTTTTTACATTGGTGTATTCAGGGTTATAACTCTTTTTGCTGAAATATAAGGAACAAATATATTACAAAATTAAATACTAATGCAAATTTCTACAACACAATAATTACTGGCCTCCAAAAACCTATACTTGTCAAACTTTGGATGTTTAAGTGTACAGTTCCTATAAAGGGTGGGGTTTACAGTTCTGTATTCAAGACGTTGAAAGGCATCATGTGACAACAGAGATTGAGGACAGGTACAGAAAATCTGGATTTTTCACCACAAATTGGGCGAAATCCTGAATGCGGGCAGAAGATGATCAGGGATTCAGTGTTACATGTAGGTCGGAAGGTCTGGAATGATGCAGGATCACAAGGGTCTAACAAGAAAGTGCAAGAAGATTTTCAGTCTAGCTGTATGGTCGCAGGAACCTGGTCACTTTGGACCGCAGCAGCTTGATGAAGGAGCGAGGGAACATCTCTTTGGACTCTGCACTCGTGTACTTAAAGTAATTCTGGGGGTGGGCAAGTACGTCAAACAGGGCTTTTATTAACTTCTTGTCCTGTCAAACAAAAGAGGCATAAACCATAAAAACTGCTGCACATAGAAGGTTAGACAATACAAGGAGAGCTTTGCATCATCGTTTCAATACCTTGAGTATTTCCTGGTGGTTCTCAGATGCATAAAGTCTACCATCTCGCACTATGTCTTCTATCAGCTGCTGGTAGTCCTCTGCAACATGAAAGAATCAAAGTGAAACAAGTCAAATAGAGGCTTTACCTGATGAGTTGAGGTAGAAAGAAAACCAAATGATCTTTCACTGGGGTGTTAAAGCCAACAGTGTTAAAGTGGCTGCAAACTCACCGTCATACGTGACATATGGAACTTGGAAGCCTTTGCCACTGTTCCCCTCATTTGACTTAAACTGGATCCAAAGTCTGCGAGAGCGAGAGGTAAAGGCTATGGGTCGCTCATACGTCTGACACGTCTCGTAGGTTGTGATGGAAGTGGGCACAGCTGGAGGAACAGCACAGAAACATTAAAGTATGTGGGCTTGTGTCACAGTAGCCTTTTAACAAGACACCAGCTAGGGCGGTTACAACCCAGGGTTGCTTGGCAAAGTTCACATTGTGCAACTTCAGAAGTCCTTTAGGACTTCAACGTGACCCAGACTGTATGATCTGTTATCACAACAGAGTAAAGGGATAAGTTAAAACATGCATGTGTTGTCAAACACAACTATCCTCAACCCAAAAACCACATACCAGAAAATAAATGCAGTTTTTCTTTTGTTTGGTCCTTGTGAGATAAGATATCTAAATAGGAAAATATTTGAGTCTTTTAACTTGCAGGAAACTGATTCAAGTGAATCATTTGAGTTTGATGTGGTCCCAGTTGAGTCCATCTATCCAGTTTATGTCCAGCTTGAGGACTCATATGATCTGGGTTAGGGAACTTGATCTTGTGATTCCTAATTCAGTATGACAACCAGGCATATCAGCATCTTATGGATGTTATTAGGAGTGTTATTTTCCATGCTATTAGGGTAATCATACACTGGACACTGAAAAGAGCGAGAAGATGATGAAGAAAAGGAGACAGCTGTGGAAGTGCTCATAGCTAGGCAGAAGAGCTGAGCTAGTAACTGTCACTACTTGATGTTAGTCATAGGCTGCCTTCAGTTGTTAGACTAAATCTGCAATAGGTGTGCTGATTTCACCACAGACCACTAATTTAAATTCACAACCAGAGATTTTCTTATGATTCTTTCATGACGAAACATTGTCAAAGTCGGTCAGTAATCACATAGTGTGAACTCAACTCTTTGTAAGTGTGCTTTGACTTTCCAGTTCGAAGATGGACTGTGCCACCAGATGGTATTTTCCAGCATTGGAGACACAAAAACGAGCAACACTGGGATAGATTGAAACATTGGACAGGTTGTGCTGGAGTGTGCCAAGACAGGTTCACTGAACTTTAGCCAAGGAAAGTCAAGGTGATGCAAGTAAGTTGGACATTTATTGATGAGGCATCCCATGCTACATGCAGCGCCATGCCTCATTTGGTTCTGCAATGCTGGTTTGATTTTTGAATGCTTGCATGTGTGCAGGACATCGCCTTCTGATGAAACTGTTTTGTTTCATTAGAATGAGTTTGTAAAGATGTGAATCAACTTTTTATTGCATTCTTGAACTGTTTCTCTATTTACCACTCTTTCTCATGACCAGCACGTCTCCACACTCATCTTCAATGGGAAGGAAGATCTCTGGCACCACTATGAGGATTCGTCTTTTGTGCGGTGGGATTATGGTCCAGACACAGTCCACATTTGATGGGTAATCTCCAGGGTAGTTGGGAGACTCGATGTAGCCGGTATAATCTCCCAGTTCCCCTCCGCACATCTGGTCTGAGGGGAGATTTATTCAAAACAACTTTGAAGTAATACTTATTCTAGTATTGTGATGTAAAGAACAAAACACCTAGACTCCCATGAACAATATTGAAAACATAAGTCTTAGATAAAACATAACATTACTTTTGCAGTGAGACACATTGGTGGCACCGTCAAAGTCGGTCGTGGTGTTCCCAGGACAGTTGATGCAGTAGTTCTGGCCAAACTCGGACTGGTATGTCCCCGCTGGGCAGCGGATGCAACGGTGGGTACTGGAGTTGTAATAGTGTCCAGGAGCGCAGTGTACTGAAAAAGCAATGACAGTCAGATACATAAGCATCAG